TCACATAAAACCTGATGGAGAAGAACTCACCCAAGGCAAGTGTGTGTGTGTGTGTGTGTGTGTGTACTTGTTTATGCTACATTGTGGGGACCAAATGTAAAACCAAATAGTAAAACCTGACATTTTTGACATTGCAGTCCCCACGAGGGATAAAAATGATTAAAAATAGTAAATGATGTTTATCTGAAAGTGTAAGAATGCAAACAGGTTAGGGTTAGGGGATAGAAAATATCGTTTGGTCAGTATAAAAACCATAGAAGTCTATGGAAAATTCACAGAAACAAACGTGTGTGTGTGTGTGTGTCCACTGTTTGTATGTATTTCACAGCATTTTCAATCCACGTTTTCCGCTATTTCAAGCTCTCCAAATGTCCCTTTCGCTCTCTGAATAACCGCATTAACACACTAGGTTTGTGTATCTCGGCTGAGAACAATGACTGTAATTAGTCCATTATTCAGCATTATAAATTATATAATCGGCAGCAATTCAAAAATCTCATAGGACACTTCAGAGATCATTAGATGTGATTAGTATAATGTATATAATGACAATGTCCTTTATGTGGTGGTGATGATGATAATGATGAAGGATGTAAACAGGACGTGTGTATATCAGCCCTGTTTCTATTGGTCAGTAGGAACAGAATGAAGCCCCTCCCTTCTGCAAAAACACACTTCACATCCCATGATAATCCTCTCTGTATGAACTATAGAGCAAAACATCCATCCATCCGTAATATTTAATCAATCATAAAAGTTGAGAAATATTTATAAAAGAAAAAGAAAAAGAAGCACTAACTGTTTCTGTTTCTGTCAGAGCAGGAATGATGAGAAAGCAGCGGCAAGAAAAAAAAAAAAAAAAACTAATCCATGACTTAAGTTTTTAACTTCAAAACCATCGCTTCCAGCTAAAAATAATTTTTAATATTTTACTCTGTGATCTAGAAATAATATTTTAGATTATTAAAGTCTTATGTGTCTTGTTTACTAACATCGTGCAATCCAGTTTAACCAGATGACAGATGTGCTCAAGTCAGGTTATGCTGTGATTTAAATAATGTCAAATAAGTCATTAGGTTATTGCATTATAACTTAAGATTTTTGGCGTGTTTGCACTGTTTCCTCATTTGCATAATTCATTTAGTGAATCAAGTGCTAAAAGTGTGCAAACAAATCAGTGGCTGCAGTTGGTTCTTAGCGAACGCTCCCCTCGTGTGTTCATCTGCACATGACGCCTTTAATTAGCCTGTCATGTCAATTAAACTTCAATTAAAAGTTACATTTCATGTAACTTTTGTAGATTTGTGTCATTTGTGTGAAGTTGAGCCTTCACAGACAGTTTAAGCTGAGATCTGATGCTGGAGAGGACTGACAGGCATCGCTCATGATGAAAGCCGAGGTTTGATTGGCTCGTAATGAAGTTGTCGCACAATCAGAGCTCACATCTACAAATCCCCTGCGGCCGCCGCGCTGGACATGACAGTAGTGATGGATGATGGGAGAAAACATGGCGTTAATGGGAGCGCAGGAGGAGCGTGACAACCGGAGGTCAGCAGGATTGGTGAGCGGATTGATTAGAATCTGACACGCGTGAACTAAACTACAGTAGAATCACATGACTCATAACAGATAACGGAAACTTCCAGTAACATTAATAGAATGTTTATTCAAAGTTATCTGGTCTTTAATAATGTTATCAAAAGTTTAGTACAAAAACTTAATTTATAAATTGTTCATGGAACATTTTTTACATTTAAGATGTTCATTTGACATTTTTTCTAATGTTATTACTTGTTTTAGAACATTCAAAAGTAACATTCTTTCAATGTTCTCAAAATGATGAAATGGAATGCTCCCTTAAAGGGATAGTTCACCCAAAAATTAAAATTCTGTCATTCATTACTCACCCTCATGTCGTTCCAAATCCGTAAGACCTTCATCTTCAGAACACAAATTAAGATATTTTTGATGAAATCCAAGAGCTTTCTGACCTTTCATAGACAGCAAGGATCCTAACACGATCAAGGCACAGAAATGTAGGACATCGGTGGTTCAACTGTAAATTTACAAAGCTACGAGAATACTTTTTGTGGGCAAAGAAAACAGAAATAACGACTTCATTCAACAATTCTTCTTCTCCTCATCCAGTCTCCTGCGACGGGTTTGGAACGACATGAGGGTGAGTAATTAATGACAGAATTTTCATTTTTGGGTGAACTGTTCCTTTAACATTTGCATAGCCAAGAAAGAACGTTTCTTAAACATTGAAAATGCCGGACATTTTGAATGTTGAGAGAGCATTCAGAAATAATGTTTTCATGACCTAATTGGAACCTTAGAAAAATGTTCTTGCAACAAATTTTTGTTAGTTGCCCAGGTAACAATTTTAGGTTATAATAACGTTATGGGAACATTGTTTTAAAATGTTTGTAAAAAATGTTGAATGTCCAGTTTTCTTGATGTGATTATAACATTAAAGGTTACAAGAATGTTTCTTACAATATTACACTAACTTTATTTTCAGCTAAAATATAATGTTATTTGAATGTTTATTTTTAATATTCTAAGAATGTTCAAATGTCCAGTTTTCTTGTTTTCTCGTTATTTAAAGGTTACTTGTTTCTTACAACATTCTACTAACTTTGTTTACTCAAAATATAACATTATTTAAATGTTTTTATTTATATAATCTTAAATGTTACAATTTCTAATTTTCTTGTGATTATGATGTTATTTAAAGGTTGCAAAAAATGTCTTAGAAGTTTCAATTACAAATAACATCATAAGGATACACACAGGAGGAGGGGATGACGAGACACACCTGGGAGCAATGAAACATCAAGGGAAACACTTGGGACAAATGAACTTAACTAATCAGGACAGGAACAGGAAACTAACCAAATAAGGGCATGGGAAGGCACATGGGGAGCAAGACACACACAAAACATGGAACAGAGTCTGACACCCAAACAGAGGCTCATGAGTTGATGAGAAGCTATACTAACTTAAAAATGTCAAATTAAAATAATTTCTAAAATAAAAGACAATCAAAATTAAACACAAAAAAATATGATTTTGTTTATCTGCATGACATCAGAGAACTGAACATGAAGTGCATTGTTCAATCATTGAAATATTATCTTAAAATCTCAGTAAATATTTTAGGTCAAAGGTTTTTGGATCTCTTCATTACAGTATGCATGTTTATTGCTGCTGAAATGCCTGACAAACTTCAGAGGAAATGCAGGCGTGTCTTCCTGTAATTATGTCCAAAAAGCAGCGTTCCGAAGACACGCCTGCATTTCCTCTGAAGTTTGTCCCTCTGGATGAAGATAACCATTGTGTTTTCATGCACTGCTCAAGATTTTTGGCTTTTCATGATGTGTTGTTTCAGAGTAGAGAAAGGAAAACGTCCACAGTACACATTTAAGTATTGCTCTTTATCTATTTGCATTTGTAGATTTGGGTTATAATACATTTTTAAAGGCTGTGATTTTTTTCTTCACTTCAGCACCAAACTTTATTCCTATCTATATTCTGAAGGCTTTTACTGAGGGCTTTATTCATACATCATTCACACTTGTTTATTTAACATTTTATTCCTAAAAACATGGTGAAATGCTTTTTTTGTCTGGTTGTTGACAGTATTTTCTGATTTATCGAGTGATAAAAAAGACATCCAGTATCCCCTCGGTGCGTGATCTCCTCTGATTGCTCTTTTCTGCATCTGCTTTAATGGTCTGATCCAACTCCAGCTTTCTAAAGACATTCTTCATTATAATTGCGAGCAGGTAAAGAAACTGGACGAAGCTTGTGTTTAAAAGAGACATTACTATATATCAAGCAGGTCTAACAGGGACATTCTCAGACTTTTAGCTAACAATCTTGCAATCTTAAAGTTATGACCACACGTTCTTCCAGTAACATTAATAGAATGTTCATTTAACATTATCTGGTCTTTAATAATGTTCTCTAAACGTTAGCACAAAAACATTATTTATAGATCGTTCGTGGAACATTTTTCCTGAAACATTTTAGTTGGACGTTCATCTAATGATTTTTAAATGTTACTAGGCTACTTGTTTCAGAACATTCAGAGAACATTCAAAACTAACGTTTCCATGATGTTTGTGGAATGATAAATTAGAATGTTCGTTTTAAAAACTGGTTTTGAACATTCAGAAATAATGTTTTTATAGCCTAACTTAATGACAACATTAACGAAACGTTTGTGGAACATTTTTTGTTAGCTGGAATATGCATATTCACAACCGTTTAAAAGTATGTCTTTTTATTATTTATTTATTATTTCATTTATGAAACACCACAGATAATAATAATAAAGAACATATTAGCATATGTGAATAAAACATATTTGCATGCCAATACAGATGTAAAGCTGCAATAATACCATTAGACAGACAGACAGTATTATTTATGAAAATAACAGATTTACTAGTCGATTATATTAACCTTGCATCACCTCCAATCATTATATTTGTTTGAATGGCAAATCCTCCTCCTCATCAGAACACAAACTGAGTTTCTCTGGTTTGATCCATTTAATCTCGGATTTATGAAGTGCGCCACCGGCAGATTAATACTCTTCAAACTGACCTCCTGAAGCTCAAACATTAATAACTCCAATCTGTAGTACCATCTCTCAAGTTAATATATACCGTTTTTATTAACAGTTGGATTTCTGTCCTATATTTGTTTGTATATTTATTTAGCGCAGCATGATTTATATTACAGTATACACACCAAATGTAGTGAGTGAAAAGGAGACTCTTGTTTTGAAATGACGCAGGCCAAGTTTATGCCTTTTGATTTATTGCTGTTTTATTATTTTCTATTATCATTATTATATTTTACGTCGCACTATTATCGTCTTAATGTGTTTGTTGCCTGGCTGTTTATTCCATTTGCGTTGTAATTGTACCTTATATGTAACGCACCGTTGTATCGCGCCATGGTGGGTGTGGACGGGGACTCTTATTCTGAAGTGTCTGTAGGCGCAGTGTGTAGCGGAAGCTCGTGCCGCTAGTAGCTGCAGTTCAGGCGGATCCCGTCAGTGTCTGATCACAAACTTTCTGTCAAACCCGAAAAACACCCGGAACCCAGTGAGTGGTCCGCAGAGCTGCTTCACACACCCGTTAAACAGTCGAGGGGATGAAATAACACCCGCAGCGCAGGCGCGGGCCGGTTTACGAGCGCAGGCCTATAATACAGTCTCTCTTCTTCTTTTCTCTCTCTCTCTCTCTGTGTGTGTTTTTCAGGTGACATGGGGGATAAGGAGTTGATGTGGGCCCTGAAGAATGGAGATCTGGATGAGGTGAAGGCTCTGCTGGTGAAGGTGAGAAACACACACACACTTCATGTCATCACATACATTCACAAACAGGTCTAACTGCTCGTGAAGGTTTATAGACCCTTACAATACAGCACTCTGATGATACCGTGCTATTTAATATATATCATGGCTCTGATTGATGTCCATGGTCACATACTGAGGCAATGCATGGTGTGTCAATGAATTCCATTGGATTAGCTTGGTGCCAAAACAAAAAGCTCGACATTGCCATGGTATGTTCCACAAACCAGTATAATGTCATGGTGCTTAGCTGTAAAAGCAACAGGTTAATGTTTTCAAGAAGGTTTTCTATCTGTCAGTGAGAGACAGTGTTTAAACCCGAAAAACATGGTCAATTTTTGTTAACGTTAAAATCAACAGGTGGGTGTTTTTTAAGGATCTTTATTTCCAAAATGGCATCAGTCAGTTGTTCAGTGTTCTATCTGTTGTTTGCAGAGGCGGACAAAGTACTCAACTCCATTACTTGAGTGAAAGTACAGATACTGCTGGTCAAACACTAATTCCTAGTATGGGTAACCATACTTGGCCACATGTCACGTCACTTTTTTCACACCTTTTTTTATTAGGAGACGCACAACAGTTCTTCTGTGGCTTTATAGGTAATATTTTCACATACACAATTTAGGAAAATCAGACAATATTGTGTCTAATATATACCGCAATATTAACTTCTTATTATTGAATTGCTGTAAATAAATATCATATTTGCAACTGGTCAGTGTTCAAAAAATGCTGGGAAATCACTTCATGTAGCCCTAAGAGTGATTACTGATAAACTGTCTGAAAAAAAGAAAGTCACGTTTTAGAGAAGAAAAAAATCACCCACTGACTTTCAAAGCTGCTACATAGTAACGACTTTCTACTTCGAGGACCTTGATAGAAATGTAGCGGAGTGAAAAGTGCAATATTTGTCTTTCAAATGAAGTGAAGTTAAAGTCATAAGTTCCCAGAAAAAAATTATACTCAAGGAAAGTACAGATACTCAAAAAGTGTACTTAAGTACAATACTCAAGTAAATGTACTTAGTTACTGTCCACCTCTAGTTGTTTGTCTGATGATAATACACTTTTTCTTGGCTTTTGTTGAAGTGTTAAGTAAATACCGTGGTATATGTAAGGAATAATTGACGACGGGCCGTTGAATTATTAGAAAAATAATGCACACCCGAGGTGGGGATGCGGCCACGATGCGAAGCGGAATTATTAGAAAGAGAGCGAGAGAGACAGAGACACGCAGAGAAAGAGAGCGAGAGAGCTTGTGTGAATTAGGCTACCTCTCTCTGTGCGTCCCTCAACAGTGTTCTGCAGCAGCGTCTCTAAACAGCGCTGTTATTACCTCACTAGTGAGAAATGTCATGTGTAGCCTTTAAGTTGCTACACTATATAGGCTAACTGATAAAATCGTCAGGGCAGCGCTGACAACACCTTCTTGTGCAAACTGCGTGACCGTAGTGTGCGTGTGCGAGCACGTGTGATTGCAGTAATTCCTGTGTGCTGTATAGGTACTGTATGCTCATTTCTGTTATTACAGTTAACTATGCGAAGTGATATGGAACTGTAATGCGGTCAAGAAAGCTGCCTGGAACTACGTTCGCCGTGAGTGTGAGTGTGAGTGTGAATGAGTGTGTGTACGAGTGAGTGAGTGTGAATGAGTGTGTGTGTGTGTGTGTGTGTGAGTGTGTGAGCGTGAATGTGAATGAATGTGTGTGTGTGTGTGTGTGTGTGTGTGAGTGTGAATGAGTGTGTGTACTGAATAATGGCTTGTGTCCTGGAGTTCCTCCTGCTCCTCTGATATAATGGGAGTGTGTGTGTGTGTGTGTGTGGTTTGAGGATGTGGGCAGGAAACCGCAGGTGCTTTGAGCTCCAGCATCTGAATGGAGAGTCGTGTGGTTCAGCGCTTCAGCCTCAGAATATTTCACCTTCATCACTTTAGCCATCAGATGAGATCAGATGATCTGGAGTCACTCGTTCAGTGTTTTGTCATCTGTGTGTGTGTGTGATCTGTTTAGCTCAGCGGTTTACACTCACAGCAGGTTCACATGATGGTTTGCTGTGTGAATGTGCTCATCATCAGACTTAAGGAATAAAAGCCTTGAGGTTCGTGTTATATACTCACAGCTAGATACGAGTCACGACACATAGTGGAGTGATTATTACATAATGTTAAAGGCACAAATAGTGTCAAAAAGTGTCAAAACAGAGCAAAAGCAGTGCTTCCCTAAGAAATATATTTATTTTAAAGAAATAAACATCCTCTGAGAATTGAGTAAGGTCTAATAGATGACTTCAGATGATCAGGTGATGTCGTATGCTTGTTTTGTAATTTTTATGGATTAAATAATCATCTATTTATGTCTTTTTTGGGATAAGTCAGTGAACGAAATACTGCAAAAACAGCATCAAAACATCTGAGTTTAAAACATAATACTACTAAATTACGTTATTAAAATTATATGAAATAATATTTAAACTCTGTTTAAGAATTTCTATGATAACATACATAATATTATTATTATTATTATTATTGTTTGCTATTAAATTTACCATAGAATTATATTACTGCATATTTAATATTATTTTTATTAGAATGTATTTAATATTATTAAATATTATTTTATTACTATAATAGTTAATACTGATAATAAACTATTTATATAATTATATTTAAGAATATAATATTATTTAATGACTAAAGTATCCTAAACCATATAAAAAAAAATTAAAAGGATGTGTAATTATTCAATTGAACATTGAATTATTGAATATCCAATATAATTATATTGAATAATAAATATTATTATTAAATATATATACTAAAGACAATTTTCTACCTCATTGGGGATTGACAATAAAGCTTTTGAATTAAATTGAAATGATTTAATAATGAACCCTAACCCCATTAGATAATATAATTTAATATTATTATATAA